AACTTTATTTGCATTTCGTATTTTTTCACAAGAACAGGTAAATGTAAATAATGGTGTTACTTTTTTGACGTGTTTCAAAGTCTGAAATTTTAAGTAACTGTTATGTAGTCGTGATTCTTCGTACGTGGATAGCCTCAAACCTCTATTATCACATACTCGGTACAAAGAAATTTCCTTGTTGACAACTGACATTCATGACCTTATATAGTTAGACTTCTAGACAGTTACTACTTTGACTTCCCATGTGAAACTTTGGCTATATGGCAAATCACACACAGACTGTGTCCTGCTGTTTGGGAGGGGAGTTTCTATAGCCAAAAATATGAAAATTTTTCGGCAGCCGAGGAGGTCAGTTTTGGGTAGTCCAGATAGCTTATTGACCATCTATGAGCATGCAAATGGTTGGAAATATCAGAGTCGTATGCATGCATACAATTCGTACAATTTAAACCCAATTTCAATTTGTTTCATGGAGCATGGTCCTTCGAAAAAATTACGCAAAAAATCTGGGGTTTCTCTTTTCTTGCACCATTTCATCTCAAAAAAATTACTTTGGCATATAGAGGTGACCATCCATTCTCCTTAAATAGTCTTTCCAATGTTTACAATTATACATTAACTTATCTGTGACATTTTTAGTTATCAAAATTAGTTTTAGCCAAACTAATGTGATGATATGATGATCATGATATTGTAGAAATGACAAAAAATGGGGAATTTCTGTTGGGTAATGAGCTCTAGAAAAAGAATGCTGTTTTTGCTAAGAGTCTGCGTTTTTTCATAAATCATGAAACGTTTTTTCATTACTCATAATTCATACCTTCTGCATCTGCCTAGCAAACAAGCAAGACAAAGTAGGTCCTAGAAGAGCACCAGGTAGTGAAGCTTCAGCCAATCCTCCAACAAGCAAGTCTACATCTTCAGGTGATTTGTACAGTTCTTCAAGGAGGGAGATGTTGACAGACGGGAGGAACTGAATACTCGATTTGTAATATTCAGTAAAATGACTACATGCTCTCACCTTTGATGTCATGGATGCAAATGACTGGATTTCATCAAGACCACAATATCTCCTCCATTCTAGATATCCAGGAATACCGTGATCTCGTCCCATTTGAATGATTAATGCAGCCATATCGACACCCTGTCCAATTTGTCCTGAGAACATGCCATAGATCTTTACTTTCCCGTATCTTAGCGAGCTAAGTCTCTAAATACCTTTTTTGAAAGCGTTCTTCAACTCTGCTGAAAGGTGCAAGCCAGGCTTCATGATTGGTGATTGAGTAAGAAATCGCAAGACAGAATCGAAACGACTTCTTTGGAAGATGAATGACGGATCGTTGAAGATCTTGAAAAGGTCAACTTAGAGGTATTGAGATGTAGATATAGCAGAACTACCTTTCCTAAAAGCTCATCTCTCTTATGATTTCCAAAAGTGTCAGTGATTGGAATTTGATTTGGCAAAAGAGTGAGGAAAAACTGCCCAACCACTGATGCGTAGACATTCAAGGTTGAGCCGTCGATGTTCTAAAATATTCGCAGCTTTATGAATTTTAGTGGAATTTTCAGTTACCATATCATATCTGCTGTCATGTCCATTAACTTGCAAATCTAGAGTATTTTTCCTGAGGTTGTCTTTTCCCACTATGAGTGGAACAAATTCGTTGTATGTAATGTGCTGAATCTGTGCAATAACGATCCTTCGTGCTTCTTGGAAAAGCTTTTCGTCACTCCATGTAGGGTTCACTTCCTAAAATAAGATTTTTTCAAAATCATTTCATGTCCCCTTCTGTTATGTTTTTACATTTTGCTTTCAAAACAGAAAATGATAGGATTTACGCCCTCTAAATCTGCTTCATTACAGCTTACGTTAGAATTCCTGATACCTTTTTTAATATTATTTCTCTTTTTATATTAATTTTCAACAACATTTTACCATGAAAAGTACCCAGTGCAAGCAATATTTATAAATTAAAACCAAATACTACAGTAAACAAAAACCTCACTGGATTTTTGAACGTTTCTGCATGCAGAGCGAAAAAACATGGTATTTTAGAAATTAAAATCAACATTACTCAGGTATTACCATGAGAAATTGAAATATTCGCAGGGATTTCATTAGGATTTTTCAGGGGTATAGGAAATCTTTCACGGATATTATTAACGTTGAAGATGATGCGAAAATGAGATGTAATGGTAGAAGTAGTTTGGGAGAAGCTCAAGAGCACTATTTTTTATTTTTTCTATTGGTCGTTTTCCAAGTTGTTTCTTCAGTAGACGTGAATAAGCTGCAGCAGAAAGTTCATTTCGGGATAAGAGGAAGAAAAAGCACATAAGTTTGAAATATTTAACTGGAATAAGAATGGTCCGAGTTTGTTTCTTACCTTCAGTTTTCCTGCAACAAAATTATGCTGTCTCATCCATATTGTGTACATCACTGCACTAGATGGTAAGAAGTTGATCCTGAGAAATTTATTTTTGTAATTCTCCCTGTATCATTCGTTTCGATTGATACTACCTCTGACTGCCAGCAAGAAGACATTGAGAGCTAAGCGACACTCTCTTGCACTCTTCGTCATCATCTGCCTGGGGCAAACCCGCATGCGATGGCGAAAGTGTGCGAAGAGAAAGAAGACCTATAACAGTTGCGAAGAAGTTTTTGACACCAATAGATTAATAGAAAGTGACAAGCGCACCATCTTTGAAAGAACGCAGCTTATCGGCGGTTTCTTGAGAGGACCCGTAGATCTGGCTAGCATCGAGGTAGCCGCTAACCTAACAAA